TTTTATTTTGAATTGTCTTTGAAGTTAGAGTGAAATTTATTTAGATTTAAATTAAAAAAAGTTATAATTTTATTTATTTTGAAAAAAACTTATAATTAAGTGAGTCAATGAGTCAACCCGTTTGGATCGGGTTTGAATTTTTCCAGCTCACTAATAAATGAGTCAGGTTGGGTTGACTCACTAAATGACCAACCCGTGGTGGGTCGGACCAGGTCGAGCCGAGTTACCCGACAGCTCTAAAAGAACCATGTGAATTGGTTTTTGTTAATATTAGTTTGAATTTTTATAATTGGACTTATGGACATTATTAGATCTACTTATTAGATCACATTTTTGCTTCATTTTTCAATGTTTGTATAAGGTTTAAATATACTCAAAACACAACGACATAAATTATTGATAAATTCTCAAAAGATGTTTTTGCATCATTTTTCTCTTTTCCTTTTATTTCATTTTTTTACCACTTCTTTTTTCTTCATCAAATGAAGAATTAAATATCTAACGATTAATTCAATAAATAATCAAACAAATGGAATTAGGTTTTGCATCAATTGTTTTTTATTCCTAAGTTTGTTTTGTGTTTTGTTACTATTTTTAGAATTCAAATTGAAAATAAATTGAATTTTAATTTGATAACTGAATATAAATGAGATTGTATCATATTAATATTAGATTCATATATTGATTAATTGAATCAATTAAATGTTCAAAATTAAATTTAAGGAGGAGAATTAAGTAAGGAGATACAATCTCTTTTTTACATATAAGCATTAATTAAAATTACCAAAAGACCTTTCTTTTTACTCATAAACATTTAACTTATACTGAATATAAAAATTAATAATTACCGTTATAATGTTTTGGAAAAAATAATTCAATCATTAAAATATATTTAAGAGTGTTCAATATATTCTTATATAACATACTTAAATACTTCTTTCCAAGAATAGGACATAATCTATTAATTAATTCATTTTTATATTTTTCTTTTCCCACATTTCATAATTTCTATGAATGAGACTGAAATTATTCTTTTTTTTTACTCTAAATTATCTCTATTACCAATAACGGTTTGACTTCAAATTAAAATTAAAATAATTAGTTTAATTTAAATTATTATTATTATTATTATATTGAATTCAAATTATTATTTTATTTTATTTAAATTTATAACGAATGTTTCTTCCCTACTCACATATTAATATACTGTCATCATATAAAAAAATAACAAAGAATACACAAAACACAAGAGTAAGCTCATTAAATGAAAAAGTAGAAAGCAAATAAATCATATTATAAAAATTCTAAGAAATAATTTAAAATTTGTATAATTAAATTTTGTACGAAATTTATTTGTGTTAATACCTAGCAATTTTTCTCCTTTTTCCATTAACATCATCAATCAATTCTTAAATAATTTTTATAAAATCTAGTCAAAAATTTAAATGGTTCATATTCATTAAAAACAATTATCTAATCTTAGTCCACATGGTTCTATTTCAAAACCTTAATCATATTTTTGTAACATGACTCAAATAAATGAATACATCTAAACATTATTCTTGAAAGAATATATCGAATGAACTTGTGAAACTCTGCATTTTTCATGCTTACTTCCAAATCTTTTAGTGATGTTCCAACATTTAGAATCAATGTTCCTAATCAAGTCATCGTAGATTAATCCCAGTAATTCTCTAAGTATGATTCTCTTTCATATTATATTATCTACCGTGTAAAGTCTTCCTCGACTCACACCACATAAATTCTATTCAACAATTTATTACCGGCTAACCGTTCAAATGTTTCATTATCATACAATATACTAAAAACTAAAACATGTCCATGCTAAAAACAATGTAGATCATAAAAACCAAAACAATAAAGTTTCATTCAATTACACTCTCAAACAATTTAAATATTATGTAGATTATAAACTCTCAATTTAAAACAATTTAAATAATTAGTTTCTCTCACCTGTTAGATGACATCTCTCTAATATCTCTCACACAATCCACTACTCATAAGATTTTCTATTTATACCTAGAAACATCCATTTAACAATTGGACCTTCCATTCAACTTAGAAGACCATATAAACTTAGTTTGAGCATAAAAACATTACACTCAGAGGTCAAATTGAAGTCCAAAGGAAGAGAAAAATTAATTTACCCAACTAGAGAAATTGATTGGAGGCTTTTATAATACTTGTCAAGAGGAACACTTCTATGATCTTTTATGTTCAAAAGGATGAAAAATGATCAAACAATTAAAAGGAGAAGAAAGAAAGTAGAAAAAGGGTCAAATATTGTTATTGTTTTAAGAAATGAGAACTCAATTTTTTTATAATCTACTTAAACTTCTAAACATAATTTTTTTTTTCTCTTTCAAATTTCATATTCTTAAACTAATTTCCTGTATTCTCACATTTATTACATTTAAAATACCATTGACACAATTATACTTTTTTTCTTAAGATAACAGGTGGACCTCCACTTGTGCAAAGTAGGTGGTAGTAACACTATTGATACTATAGCACCAGAGACTATAGTTACAATTGCAACTAGTATATAAGAGAAAGCGATGCCAGAATATGTGCAATTGATATGAGCCTAAACTTGACTTGAAAATTAAATCCCCCAAATTTGTTTCAAGGACACCGTAGGAATAACCTTGTTATAAAATAAATATAAGTTTGAGAGTAATTATTATAGAAAATATCAGAAGATAAAAAACTTCAAAGTATTTCAATCAAACGTAGTAATCAGATAAGAAAAACAAGGAGATATTTAAATTAGCTTACCTACTGTTTGTTTACATGTCAAAATCATGTAAACACGTGAAAATCATGTACCGACAAATTACAGAGTTACTGAGACAATGAGTGTGTTGAATTTAACGTTGAATAGTTCAAATATATTTGTAAAAAACAATTTTTACTCAGACTATTTATTTATCTTTTTCACTGAAATTAAATGAGTCTGATAGAAAATATTAGAAAACTATTGAAATATAAGCATTTAAAAAACGTGTCAATCATCTCAATCATACGCGCTATTTTCTGTCCTTAAGACAATAAGGTTTTGTTGTCATCATTTATAAAACAATAATCGTCCCAGCAATAATTTGTACTGTTCACATGTCCTCACTGGTACATTGCATGTGACAAGGAATAAACAAGTCTAATTGCTAAACTCAAAATCAAAGTAAATGGCTTTTTGTAATGAGATCAAAGGACATGCAGCACAATACCGTTACACCATTCATCGTCCCTCTGCATTCTGTCCTTAAAATTTCAAATAAATCTCATAAGAATATACACATATTATTTATAAACAAAGTCTTACATCAAATAAAATAAAAAATAACATGAATTTATATATATATTTTTATTATTAAAAAAAAAATTAAAATGATATTAGAAACAAATCCGTTTAGTTCCAATACATTACCGTAGGATTTCGTTGTTTAAGGGTATTCAGACAGGCAATATATGTTGACTTTGAATATTTTTGAGTAATTTCGATGCAACTTTGTCTGATTTGCAGATTTATGTTGCTGTAAACAAAGACCAAACACACTTTATAAGGAAGGTATTGGGGGAACGAAGATTCTGAAACCAAATTAAGGTGCATTGGGAAGCTAACAATATATGATTAGTCATTAATTACTTAAATGGCTGTCTTAGTCAACTCATGATTAGAATCAACGGCACCGTCACTCAGTGTTCACATTACCAAGGCTACATTTTTCGGTGGTATTAAAGGGAGTTTATATATGTTAATACAATTTAAAATGAAGAATCAAAAGTATAAGGTTGACAGCTAGATTTTTTTGACGAATATTATTAGATGTCATAAAGTGGATGAACAATATTTAAAAAGGTTTTTCTCTTTTTTTGTCATTGGTAAACTATGGAGAGTATTATTAGTGAGAAAAATGGGTAGTAGATAGGGCTGAAAATGAAGGGCGTGGTGGAAGAAGACCCCACAAGGATTAGGGTTCCTTTGGTTGGTTTGTGTTGTCCAATCTTTCACGTTCCCATTCCCTATATCAGATCATTATCATCACATGCCATGAAGTGGGAAACTGAGCCATTGGCCAATGCCTTTATTTCGTTACATAAGCCTCAGAAATTACAGACCTGCATTTTCAGGGTCCCTCCACCAATAACACAAGGGAAATCAATCTTCCACAGTAAAAAAAAAAACACAATGAAAAAAGTCATACAATATAATGAAAGATGTTTATGATAAAAAAATAGCATCATAAACAAATACAGAATTATCGATGACACCGACATGAAGGAAGATAAGAAGAAATGTGATTTACCGATGACTATATATTAAGATTTACTATAAAGTCTTAGATTTTAAATTTTAAGAATAAATTGTACTTTTTAAATTTTAAAATAATAATTTAACTATTTTTTTTTAAGTTAACATAAATCTTACATAACTTTATATTTGCATAACACTGTATTGAAGCAAAATCTTAAAAATAATATAATAAAGGAAAACTCATTTCATTGAATACTATAAGATAAAGTAACATAAGAGACAATCAAAGAATTGAGTTTTCTACATTACTGAGATCTTAGTCATATAACAGAAACATGAACAGGAATAGCCTATCTGAAGTAGGGATGGCAAGTGTTACACGTATAATTTAAAAAAAATTGGCTATCATATAAAATTATTTAAAAATAAATATTTGAAATATAAATTGAAATGAAAATGAATCTTTTATAAGACTGGTTGAATCTGATAATTCTAAATTTGAAAAGATAAAGAAATGATTGTTTGATTAGTAATATTTTTGAGTGATGAATACTGAGAGAGAGAGAGACTGTAGAGGGGTCCAGTTAGCATTAAATAATAGTAGAATGAAGTGGAAAAGTGATCACGTGTAAGAGAAGGAGTGTGTCACAGTGAGGGAGGGTGGAGCATGTGGTTTGGTGCAGTAGCCGACCCTTCTTTCGCTTAATCAATGGATGAATGAGATAAGGAAAATCATCTATATATCAATGAAAACGATTCATTTTCCATCGCTCCTCGTCTCACGGATCTTGCCTTTTCTCTCTCTTTCCTTCTTCTTCTTCTTCTCTGCTTTCTCTCTCTGCTGCACATTCATTCTTCTTATATATATATATATATATATATATATATATATATATATAACCTCCACACCTTCTTCCCCACCCAAATGGCCTCTTGGAAGAAGACCATCACAACACCGTTCAAAAAAGCTTGCACCTTTTTCAACAACCAGCCGCCAAGGGATCAAAAGAAGTCTCAACCAGGTCTCTCTCCACCCTCTTTCCTTACTTTCTTCTATCTTATGCTATATAATTCTCGTTCTCATTCTCATTCTCATCCATTTCCAGACCAAGAGACCCGAGTCATGGATCTGCACGGGGAAGTCATGGCATGTGGCTACGAGGATGTTCAAGTTATGTGGTCTATTCTCGACAAGTCCAAATCCACAAACTGCAATATACCCTCTTCAACCTGACCCCCTTCGATCAAATATGCCACTGCACCAATTAGCTAATCTTTTTGTATGCTAATGTTAAGGTCATCATCATCATCCATCCCACTCTAGTGTAGGTGTTTTGTAATCTGTGATGTGTTGTAGGGAATCCCCATGATTGATGAGAAAATCATGGCGAGATTGTTATGATGAAATGTAGATTAGATTTTTTTTTCCCCTCTCTTTCTGTCTCTCTTGTTTAGTCAATAGTCAATGTTCAAATTTCGAGTCAGAAAAATATCTTATAGAGGACAACTGAACATGGGACAGCGTGTCCGACTGTCATGGTTCCTTTGTTGGCCATCAATTATTGATGATAAGAAGAATGAGGATAACATAAAATCTTATTCTATTTTACTATTTTGTTTTATGACCAACAAAAGATTACTCATCTACTACTAAACACACCAGCGGCTACATAGGTAGTAGAACAAAATTTGGTTAATTCCCGCCACAATATTTAAAGACATTCCCTGTTTAGCTAAGACAACAATCGATGCATTTGTCTCTTTCTTTACATCTATGTCTAAATTTACGAACTATAATGTTTCGTATTAGAGTATGACACCGATCATGAACAGAACTTCTTCTTTCACCAATTACTATAAACTAAGACCTCGCTGACATACTTTCACAGTACAACATCGAACTAAATTGCAAGCCAAAGTCGTGAGAAAGCAACCGTTGCTGTAACACTAAATAAATAATTTTGTTGTTAATTTTATTTTATTTTTTTCCTCGCGTGAAATTATGTGTTAGGTTGAAATTAAATTTCATTTATCATACTCGCTACCAAAATTAAAAATTTTAGATATAATAAAGTGTTTGAAGAAGACACATGTGAGGAATCTTTGTGAGATTCGTTTCTTGGAGCTCCTTGAACTCTCTCCCTCGTCTCGATGTCTTCATCTAATATTTCGATCTCTAAATATTCTTTTAGGTACTTTTGTTCATCTTCCAAGTCTTCGTCTATCAAATCATCTTTATACAATGCCAATTTACTAGCATTCCCTTCACAAAAGTTGATTTCAAAAATCATAAGAACGAAGAATTAGATAAAGCAATGATCTTAACTAATTCAACATTATACTTTATACTTAAGAATTAAAATTTATTATATTATATATGTAAACTCAATTCAATCTTATAAAAATAGTGTGTACCGTATGACTGTCTGATTAGTAGTTGATTGGGCTGTCAATTCTTTCATATCCATAATTGGTTCATGAAAATCGAATGATTTCTATCGAAGACAATGATTGATCAATAAGTCAACTAATGAGTGATTGGGATTGCATATTAAACACGTTACAGGTAAAGTATGTTTATCAACTTTTGGACTATGATTAGATCAATGCTAATTGAAAATCTATTTCGAAACCTATAAATACATATTGATAATTAATTTTAATCGTCAAATAATTATTTATTGACTTAAGTATTGAAGTACCTTTTGCACTAACTCCTGCAAAATATAAAGTGTCATAAAAAAAGACTTAAATTATTAAAACAAGTTAAGAGTTTGTTTGAAATTTGACGTTAAACACAATTGACCTCGATTCCATTACCAAAACACTTTACTAAGATTTAATTTAATTTATTAATAAAACATATATTAAACTTCATCGTTAATTAAAAATAACAAACAAAAATAACAGGAATCGTTAAATAATCTAACAAAAATTAATAATAAGAATTAAAAGACAGCGGAAAGGAAAAGTTTCATTCTCCGAATGATATGTTTTAATTTATTTATAATATTAAACATCTGAACAAATAATAGAATAAACTAATCTGTTTTCATTCAAATTTTATTTAGTGAAATATAGATTACAAAGAAGTAAAAGATGATTGAGAAAAAAAATTGACCACCATTTATAGGATAGTTATATTCTTACGCTTCCTTTAAAAGCTATATTTTTATGTATATATTTTTATTTATTTTATTTCATCTAAATATTTTAATCTTTTTATTCTATCATATAGTCACTTGTACTTTTTATTTTCTTCTCTTTCATCCATTTCAATACACCGACAATTAGAGGTACTTTAATGAAAAGTCATTATTGCCTATCTCTCAACAGTATCACTTTTATCATCATTAGTAAATATATGCATTGTCTCTGTCATCATTATATTTCATAAAAAAGATAATTATATTATTTGTTATGTTATTTTGCTTTAGATATTAATTCATTTGAATTAGTTCGATATGAGAACTCAAGTCAAATTAAATAGATTAGATTCAATTTGTTTTTAGTTTAATACGGATTAAATCAATCAAGATTGTTTATTTTTAAACTTAGTTAAGCAAGAATAACATCAATAATAATAAATATCATTCTATATTTTCATTCTTTTGATTGAATACTTTTTACAATCGTACTTTTTTTAATTGTTGTTATTATTTAGTTAGTATAAGTAATTATAACTGAAAGATGCTCTTTGCACAATTTTAAAGAAGATATCATGTGTGAAGTTTGGACAAAATTGATTTGACAAGCATATTTTTTATACATTGATTTGAATTGTAAAAAAAAGTTCAAAAAGTTTGTAAGAAATAATAGTCTTAGGGAGTCGTACGTTGGATACTCTTAAATGCCTAATGAATTGTCTTAAAATGGTCACATCAAAACTTTTAAATTATTAAATAATATATTTACCTAATTCTTAATAAAGGTGTGTAAACATTTCTTATAATTTTTAATAAAAATATTTTTATTATTTGATTGTTGTTTATATTTGTAAATTATAATACTTTATCTCGAGAAATGAGCATATTCAACATAGAAATTCGATAGCATTAGATAATAATTCTAACTTGAATGAGAAAAATTTTAATATTATTATATTAAGTTAATTTATATGTATATATTATGTATGATCTTATTGTGGAATCTTCCACAATAATTTGTAAAAAGGTAAATTTGTAATGTTTTTGCTTTAAAGGAGAGTCATGTCAACAATTGAGCCAGTCATAATGAAAGAGAGATCATCCTTTTATATTAATTTATTTAATAATTTTATTTTCCTTCAATAAATTTGTAAGTTTTATTTTCTAGATAAATCTCTTTTTATTACTAGTTATTAACATTCTAAAGTGATAAGTTACTCATATAAGCTATTTGTTATATGATTACTTAAGAGGTAAGTGGACTAACATTTGTACTCTTAAAGGAAAATAAGTAACATTGTCATTTCCTTTATTTAAGTTATTTTGCATGCTTTATTTCTTTCATATATTTGTTTTCTTATTATTTCGCAACGAAACATACAAAAATATTTTAAGAATATGAAAAAATATTTTTTGTTGATCTTTATGCTGTCTGGATTTCACCACCGATTTGGGTTTCAGCAATTAATAGAAAATACCGGAAAAAAAAAATAGGAGACACAAATTAAGTAGGAAAATACATTGTTTCTATCACTTTGAATATTGTTTTCTTTTACCTAATATAATTAAGTGTATTATTATTTTGATACCCAACAAAATTTTTTTAAATACAAAAGTTAATTTTTTAATGACCAAAATACTTTTAAAAATGAATTGTTAAACTTGTGCAAATGTTTAAAAAAACATTTTCCAATAATTAAAAGAAATGTGTTGTTATACTTAGCTGTTGACATGATTATATATCAGACAACTATCATTATTTAAAAAAAAAAAAGCTAATAAATGACAAAGAGCGCTAAAAAATCTATAAGGAAACGTAAGAAAAAGAAATTTGTTAAAAATTAAAAATAAAATTACATATATTACTGTCACTTAAGTAATATTGCAAAATTATTTACAAATATACTTTCCCTTAATTGTCTCTCTTAGCTATCTTCAATTTGACACTGCTCCCATACCAAAATAACAAAATTGTAAATCCCATTTTTTTTCTACTTTTCACCCTTCCTCGTCTTAAAAAAATCTATTATTATTCTTTCAGTCACTCTCCTTATCTTTCTCAAAAATTATAGATTCAAGAAAAAGAATATAAGTGAGAGAGATATTGGAAGAAAAGATACAAAACTAGAGACAGACAAAGAATATAAATTTTAAGAATTAAAAAAATATGAAAGAAAGAGATAGTTGAGATAAGATAATTAAAAGAGATTAAATTAATTTTCACAATTAAGATAGAACAACAAAATTAGTTAATTGATTAATAAGACGTACCATTTAAAATAAAAAGATTTTGAGATCAAAGTGATTCGCAAGTGAAAAGATTTAAATAATTTGTTATTCGTGTAGAAATAAATTCTTCAGTGTAATGGGGAAGAATAAAAAGAAAAGTTAGGACCAATGATTATAGTGGTAAGTCATTATCATCCAAATCAGATTCGTATATTATTTGATTCCTAAAAAAAGTTGACTACATATTCCACCATCTACACCTACCAATTATAAAACAATTGGATTTCATTCTCTACAACATCTCATTCATTCATGCTGCCAAAAATAAATAAAATAGATGCTACATAATCTTCAAATAAATGCTTACAATAATAAAATAAATCTTCTCTAAAACATTCTTTAATCTGGTGAAAATAAACAATTTGGAAATTTTCATGGAGTTTGTGTGAATATAAATCATCCAATTTGAGGACCTCGAAATTTCAGAACAAAGGAAGACTAAAACTTCTCAATCACCACACTTTTTTCTTCTCTGGAATCCACGTGCCCTTTTTGGCTTTATTTCAATTGTCGACATCGTCATTTTTTATTAGAGTGGTTGCAAGCTTTTAATTTTAAGAAAGAGACTTGAGTTATAACATGTTTAAACGACAAAAATATCTAAAAAATCGTACACCAAAAAGAGATTATACTTTAGCTATGAAGAGGTTTTCTATGCATGCAGTGAATTCACATGTGTTAAACAATTTCCTTTATTAACATGATTATAATTGCTCTAAATTAGAGAAAAAAAAGGGTAAAAGGTAGAGTTCTGAAAGAAAGAAAGGAAAAATAATAGAAATACTCAGACATTGAACATGTTTTAGTGCTTGCACTTACTGCTTTCATTTGAGTTGTCATCTGTGATGTTGATGACGTTTTTGAGGAAGTTATGATAGTTCTTTTAATTCTTTGTGATTTGAAGGACGTTGGATTTGGATTTCTTGGTGTAATGATCAAAATCCATAATAGATATCTTTGAAATATATAAAAAAAAAGTTTTAGATTAAAAAGGAATAACATAAATTGTACTATAAAGTAATGTTAAACTGTAGATATTTTCTATAACACATACAAAGCATGGTTTATTAAAGTAAATGTATTTGCTCGAAAAGACTCACCAAATAAGAACAAATATACAAATGAAGATAAAATAAGGGTCATTCGAGATGGTTGAGAAAAATAAAAAACTAATAGCAGACATAGAATGCTAATCCAAAGGAAAAGAGAGGACCCCTCAAATTGAATTTTTAATTTATAATATATAGTATATTTAATAGAGATTTTCTAGATTACAAAGAAAGATTTCTTCTAGGAGAAACACTCAATTACTTTTAACTTCAAATATGTTAACCAGATTTATGTGGACTAATTTAGGGACCTCTTGGTTTCACGGAAACCCACCAAATGGAAAATGGCTTGATTGTTATTGATACTACAATGGCCAGAACACTCTGCAAAGATGTAAACACTTTTTTTTTCTTTCGCTTTGGGTACAGAGAATATAAATAAGAAACTACAAGATTACATCCAACGAAATCAAATGATAATCAATGATTCCTGGTACTAAAAACCCAGCTTGCATATAATACAAAAACTTCAAACTCTAACCTTCTGATATGGTGTGGCTGACCACGGAGCCAATTCACCTGAAATTTCTCTCTTCCTTTGCTTCAAGGGCATCAACTTCCTCATTGGAAAGCAGGTCCACAATAGGTTCATATACGTCCCACTCCTTTCTTTTCCTGTTTGCATTCAAGAAAAAATGCTTCAAACTTGTCAACTTCTCATTGAATTTCATATGCAAGACTATATATATATATACACACACCCACACAAACATATCTATTCCTGGCGCAAATAACCGTTGAATGCCTTATGTGATGAGTCGCTAAGTTTAAAATCACAAAATTAGTTACAAAGTGGTTTTAGTTGGAAGGGCAATGACTTTAAGCTTTAAATAGTAGGTAGGATACAAGGGAAAATATTTGGACTGTAAGCTGAGAATTGGGCATTGCTCTGCCGAAGAAAAAGAAACCCCTTTGTGATGGGAGAACCCTAGCCTAAAGGAATAGGAGTTATTGGATTGGTGTCATCTGATTAGCAGAAAGTGAGGCATTGAAGTACTGAACCATTCTGCAAAATACAGATCAAAATGCCGACATGGCAATAAGTGGTAAGCTTAGTTGTCCATGTCATAATTTAAATTTTAGGATTTACATTTTTAATAATGAACTAAAACACACACGAACAATCAACAAAGGCATTCCATTTATCTATCAAGCTCCAAATTGTCTTCATCTCAGCCAGGAAATCTGTTTAATAAAGAAAAAAGAAACAACGGTAGATTTCAATCTCACTTCTTTTTCTATTCCACCGTCATTTCCAAACTTTTTCTCTTTTTACTGATATTTTAATCTTTCTCTTGTTCTAAATGCACAAGCCACAAACAAATATGTCAATAGCCATACTATGCCACTAGTTTCTGAGCCTACTTCTGAGCCTCCTTAAATTTCAGCAGAAATAGAGGGTTCGAATTTATGACGGACTTACCGTACTACACTAGATTTCGGACCAAATAACTTCACCAAGTCCACTGCTACGGCACCTCCTTTACTGTCATAAGATCATTGACGAGAAAAAAGACATGACTTGGGAAATACATATTGACTTAGAATTGTAATAAAATTGCCCTTATCACGCAGCAAAAACTTGACACAAGTGTATGATAAAAAACCTGATCGGAGTATATTCAGCCCCTCGACGACCCTTCTTGCTCATTCTGCTTTCTCTTGCTGAGACCACACTTTGAATTGCAATCTAAATATGGAAACATAACGACTGTGGTAACCGGACCATATATAATTCCTGAAAATGATACATCAATAAACCAATAGAACTTACTTCGTAAAGTTGCTCTCTGATAGCAAAGGCAATAGCTGGCTGCAAAGCAGAAGAAGCATTATACAGTTTAGCGTGTTTCAATTTTCAAGAATGTCTGTGTGCTTGTGCATTTTGAAAAGAAGGCAAGAAAGAAAAAGAAAATTCCCATGATTAAAACAAGAAAACAGTTCCTACATTACAAAAAATTGTTTCTTTACTATAACATAATTTTGCCTATGTAACAAAATTCTATTATACTCCCAAGGTCTCTATCAAATTATTTTAACTCATTACTAATGAAAATTGGATACACTTACTCCAACCTCAGGATCTTCAATGCCCATGTCCTTGCAGAAGATTCTAGCAAACTCTTCAGGGTCACTCTCAAAGTTGTTCAAGTCCTAGAATTCAATCATTTTAGACACAAAACCGAAATAAACCTAAACAAGCACGGTAATGTTACACCACAACACCTGTGCTGTTCTCCAACCTTACCCATAAAAACTGGTCCTTCACAAGCGTATGATTAACACGAAGATCGAGCTGCAAAACAGAAATAACGTTTTGTTAAAATGCAAAGCAAACACTGAATGAAACAAGAGAAACACAAAATGGCAACAAAGAGAGACCTTGATCGGAACAATCTTCTCCCCAGCATACATATCCTGGCCTTCATAGGATCTAAACTCCAAGAGCTGTGACTGATAGCACAAGATAACATAAAGAAGGCTAAATGCACAATAATAATAATAATAAAGATTTAACTGCTAATTTGAAAACTATGAGTTCATTTGGATGAAACTTCTCTATAAGCATTTCTTGAAGAAAAAAAATAAAAAGAAACAAATTAATTTATCTATAAGTTAGGAATCAAACTTTAAAGAGGTTAATAGGAGATAACTTCTATAAATTAACTTATTTATAAACTAATTATACCTTATGGAAAAACAAATTTCATGCTTCTTTCTTACTTTTTTCTTATAGAAATTTTCACAAAAGAAAGACTTCAAACAGATCATATGTCTATATAATTTCACGCCTTAGTCTCTATACTTAAAAATTACAATATTTAATCCCTAATTTTAAATACATTTTAGTCCTGCCGTTCAAAATCGAAGAACCAGTAGGGTGTCTTATAGGAACCAAAATGAGTTAAAAAAAGAAGTGCATGTGATGGTCTAAAACAAGTAGTTTGTCTAAAACATTGTAAAAGAGAAATTAAACCTAATATAAAGAAAAGCATACAAAAATGGAGATGTGTGTACTTGAATAGATTGAGCAATTTGTGTAACAAAGGCGGGAGGGAGCTTCAAGTCTTTAACAGTCCTTTTTGCAAAGACCACAACCTCGGAGTCGGGATCTACAGTGTCGGAATTCAATCAACGCAAATGAAAAAACAAGAACGGCTAGATGATCAGGTTTTGTTTGAAATTACCAGAAGGGTTCCAAGTGAATGCGTCTTTGTATCTTTGTCCTTCGATTTCGATATCCAATCGAATGGGAACCAAGTTCTCTGCAGTTGGCCTGTGCATTAATCATTCATTACGCATTACAAAAACCAACAAAATCAATCAGTTTCAATTTTTAAACTTACATTCTGAACTTTACAGGGTTTCGGTAGAAACCCGGAATCGGGGTTTTCATGCTCTCCCAATACGAATGGACGATTACGACGCCGTTTTCATGCAAAAGGTTCACAAACTAACTTCTGCGTCCCCCGAAACAAAATCAATCAATCAATATACTAGAAAAATATCTTCTTCCCACACTTACTTACCACTATGCAGTTTCTGTGTCTAATTTTTATTTTTCTTTTTTCAGTTTTTACAAACTTCGGTTTTCGTTTGGGCTCGGACCTAGGCCCAGTATCTGACTCCTGCGTGAAACCCACTCCTTTTTTGCCATATCTGAATAATCTAAATAAATAAATAGTATGTAAAATTAGTTTCTTCCTAAAATTTAATGATATTAAGTATTTATATTTTTATATTTTTTAATTAAATATTAATTAATTTTTTAGTTTAGTGATACGTCATTTTAGTTATTTTTCTTTACTTCTTAAATTATGTAATATGTCATTAATATAATAATAATAATATATTTATATAATATAAACTAATAAATAAATTATATTATTCACATTTATGTGTTGGATAATTATAATTGATGAAATAACAATAAATTACTTGATGAAATAAATAAATAAATAATAAAATCTCAATTACAAAATTATATTTTTTTAAAATATTTAATAATTAGAAAATTATTAAGAAATAAATTAGAATATTTAAATTTATAAAAAAAGTAAAACTTAATTATATATATATATATATATATATATATATATATATATATATATATATATATATATATATATATATATATATATATATATATATATATATATATATGGTTTGCTAGTATATGTTAGCTTTTTCTTTAGTCGGTATATTTTAGTAAAGTGTAAAAAAAAAACAAGAAATCTTTAAATTTTTATTTATTTTTCATTTCTCTTTCAACTCTCTTACTCAAACTTTCTGTCTGGCATCCCTACACTAGCTTCAACTGAAAAAATTAGAAACACTCACCTAACTCTAATTCACCTTTCTCACTTGTTTAGTTTCTCTCTCATCCCCATCCTCTCTCTCACACACATAACAACTCGTGATACCGTAATTTGTTACTCTTGCTCTGTTCATTCATTTGTTTTCCACTTTAATAACAAAATAATTGATAATGTTAATGTTGATTTGTTTTGGAGGACTATGTTATATATTTTTCCTTCTAATTGTTATCAAAATTTGTAAAAGACTAAAGTCTACAATAATTTCAATAATTTGACAACTAAAAAAAGACAAGAAACCCCCACAAAAAGACGTTAGCATCAACTCATAATAATTGCAAAACATTTAGTTTCTTAATACCAATTTTGATAAAATCATATAAATGAAAGGAGTATAAGTTAAAGTATAAAATCATATAAATGAAAGGAGTATAAGTTAAAGTATTAGCATGATGGTAACAAATTTATTAAGTTTAAATTCTAATTAGAAATCTAGTGCGTTTTGTTTTCTTAATTTCACTTCACTTATGCAGCAAATGATAAATCAGAATGATAACATCATGTTTATATTGACCAAACAAGTTGGAGATATGAATTGTTTAAAATAAACTTACATGATGTGATTTACTTTGGAAAGTAATTTTCTAGTCCAACTGAGAGCTAACACGTTCATTATGACTAGTTTACTGGTTAATTTTTATTAGTTGGTATATCAATGTAGTTCTTCTTGAAAATTACTCAATATTCTGCAATCTGCTAAAATATAGAAGACGTGTAATTTGTTAAAATATTTTTATTCATTTTACAAATATGAAAGGAAAATATGCTTATCAATATGAAACATTCAAAAGGAAACGATTAGTGGTCTCTTTTCTGAATAAGGGAACATAGTCAACAACAACAATTTTCTTTGTTCATAACTCTCTTCAATAATTTGTTCGTGTTAAATCATTTAGTACGATGTGCAAGAGTTTCATTTTTTGTTGTGTTTTGTCATTGGTTAAGTTTCATTTTTTGTTGTATTTTGTCATTGGTTATATGCAAGAAGGTGAAAAGTATATTCCGAAATATTGTTTTTAGCGGAAAATGTTTTTAGAATTATTTTTAAGAGCTGACTTCAAAAAATCATTTTCTTTTTCTAGACAATGACTTACTCCTTTCGGAATCTCATTTCCACATAATGGTCTTTCTCTTCTAGAAAATACTTTCAGATAATTTAATAGTCAAAATATCAAATCTTTCTGAAGATAAATTACTAATTGTAAAATTTAAAAACGAAATTTAATAACAATCAGAAAGAAAAATATATAACACAATCCTCCAATCAAAAATCAACATCAACGTCATCAATTATTTTGTTATTAAAGCAGAAAACAAATGAACGAACAGAGAAAAAAGAAACAAATTGCAGTGTTGCGTGTTACTGTGTATGGGTGAAAGAGAGGATGGAGATAAGAAAGCAACAAATTGGATAAGTGAGGAAGATGAATTAGGGTTAGGTGTGTTTTTTTTTTTTTTTTTCAATTGGAACTATTGTAGGGATGACACAAAGAAGGTTAGGTGAGAGAGATGAAAAAGAAATGGTTGAGAGGAATGAATAAGAGTATAGGGGTTTCTTGTTTTTTTTTTAATTTTGAGAATAAAAATTATTCAAATACTCATAACTTTAAAACTTAAAATTTATAATATATGAGGATATTTTTGTTTTTAATTTACATCATTATATAGTACACCTTTTACAATTATCTTTAATGTTTTTTTATCCATTTATTGTTTAATAAAATTGTTATACTTTTAACCTCCTTTTATTGTGATAAATCATTTGTTTTTATAAATAAAAATATTTTTTGATAAAATTATGTAACTACATAAGTATTCTTTCAAATTTTAACCTTTACTACTTAAACTAATTAAGATAAATTAAAAAAAAAAACCTGTATTGTTTAAATATTTTTTTTAAAAAAAAGATACATTTCTACTCAATGTTATAATAATAAATTTTTTTATTAAAATCGATTTTCAAAAAATTCTTAAGTAATATATTATATTTTTTAATGTAGGTCTTTTTTCAAAAATGTTCTTTTTTTATTTTTCATTTTTAAATTTCAAGATAATACTTAATTCTAATTATATATCTAATTTATTTAATATGAAGAGAAGAAAAATAGATACGATAATATGGAGAGAAAAAACAATGACAAGTAAAGATAAATTGAAATAAGAAAATGGAAATGGTATAATAGCTAATTCCTAAGGATCACAAATGTATTGGAACTTGTTTTAACAAAGTATCAATCTTCAATGTTTTAAATTGAGTGTGCAAATAAGATGAATATATATATATATATATATATATATATATATATATTTATTTTGTATCTTTTCCAGTCCTTATTTGATTCGTTTTAAAACATTATTAATTTAGTAGGAAATATAAAAAATTAATTATATTAATTTTATTCCTATTAAATATCTTCATAGAGATGAGATGAATATTTATACATGTGATGAAAAATTAAACCTATACCTGTACCATTGTCATCTTACTAACTTCCATAAAATTGTACTAAAAGTAAAAAAATTAAATATTTTGTTTGAGTGAGTGAAAACAATTTAAAGACTGTAACAAGGGATAGAACTAGAAATAAAGTAAAATAAAATAAATGGTGAAGTAAATTCCTTAAAATTCACATGTTACAAGACCAATGAGAATGTTTGAAATGCTTAAAAAACTACGACAAATTCTCTATAAGAAAATGTATAAAGACTTTTTTTAATTTAATTTCTAATTTATACATTAACTAATTCAAATTTATACAAATTTCATTTTGCTATGATTATTCTTATTCAAATAGAGAGCAGTTAATGTATGTCTGTGACCCAACAAGAAAACCTTCATGTATATTAATTCAGTGTTACAGTGAATACTGTTTTACTAAAGTGCATATGAATTAAGTGGGATAAGGTATATTGAAAAAATGACTTACATGGATGATGCATATGCATAAGAAAGTGTGGGTGGTTTATGGTATTGAAAGTTGATGACAGTAATTCAGTTCCTAAATGGGTTAATGTGTTTGGGGGTTGTGATGGAGTTGAGAGATGAAAACGAAGAGGAATGAATGATTGTGGAGATGAAATATCATTGTCAGTAGGTGAATGTTTGATGAACAATCAAAATGAGTACACTTCTCTGGCAGACAGGTGTTTGAATGTGGATTGTTTAATTCATGGTTAGAATCTTCCTCAAATCATGACAATGAAAGCAAAACCACTGTTCTTGACACGAGGGGTGTGGACACCATTAGCATCATTACGTTGTACCCAACAAAGCCAAACACATCAAAGCAGAGACACCAGAAAAAAGGTCCATGTAGGGAAACTAGGAAAATCATACCTGCTTTTTATGCTTCCACTATTAGCTTTGACACATTTTAAGCAACACACGCTTTTCAGTATTTCGTATTTCAACTTCAAGGTAAATTTCACACAACGAAGCTGCAATACACCAAATCACCACCAAAATAATTTACCTACTTCCAAACCAACCTTCAAATTCTCCAAGCTCATCATGCATTATGGGTAAGAAGATTAAAGGCTGAAACAATAGGTCCAACCCAAAATCAGACCACTCTACCTTTCTATGCACTGAATTGACTATTAGGTAAGAAGAGCTATACATCTATATATTTTTGGTGTATAAAGCTATTAGATATGCCAATCACGGGATCCATTCTTTTTGGTGAAATATTTCAACGCCTTTCACCCACCTATAATTAATTAACTAGATCTACAACAAAAATTTATCAACAACGAAAATTGAGAAGGAGCTTGTGCTGTGTTGTGTTGTGAGGGGTTCTATACTTTACTAAACTAGCTAGCATCTGTCAGCTCTCGTGATCTTCAACCTCTTCACACTGTTCAAGAACATCCTGCATTAATTATCAGATACAAAAAAGGGTCAAACAAAATACACTGTAAAACGGAGCTGATGGCAAGATTCAAGACTTGAGTTTTTGAGACAAATATGCATATATCACTTACTCCCAAGGTACATCTCCGACCATCATCCAGTCCCCTTCTTGATCCTCGTAAGTTAGCACGTGAAAATTCCCAGAACTGAGTGGTTGAGAGTTTGGACCTGAAAAAACAAAATTGATCTCTAAATATGACGGTCCAAAAGAAGGTGCAGAAGGAAATGATTTTGAGGGTTTCAAATGCTCACACAGAA